AAGGGTATGAGATTGCAGGGATGTGTTCACATTAAAAAATAAAAATGTAGGGAATTAAAAAAAGAATGCCCTAACAAAAGGCGTGGAGCACCAGACTCAAAAACATTTTTTTGGATTTTGATATCTGTGCTTATAAATGATCCATCATGAATTATTGGATGGCATGGTTCCCATTGAAGTGTTAATGATAATAATGCTTTGGAACATTTTTTAAATATATTTAAAAATTAAATCAATTATAAGATGTATTTATTGTAAATCAAACCCTATTGAATTGAAGAAAAAGCGATATCCAATTTTAGGGCACACACATGGCAGCCCTCAAATGTGCGCATAGATTCTGCTCTTAACTCATAATAGAATCCCAAATGACAAGAAATGTGTGAATGTGTAAAAAAAAACACAAGTTGATTTTATAATAATAATGTTTGCCTTTTTGCCTTAAGGGTTGGTGATTGAGGCACATTGTTGTGTTTGGCTGCAGGTCGGTGAGGGTCAAAGAGGTTGAATGAACCTGAGCAGATTGTACTTGTTTACACATTTTGATTCCATTCTTTTTGCAAGGACTACAAGGACACGGCCCTGTACTCCATCAAGCACCCACTCTCCTCGTTAACTGGTTTTGATCACAAATAGCCTGAGGTCCAGCGACAAACACATTTAATTGCTGTATGAAATTATCGCATATTTGTTAGCCTCTACACCCCTAGCATGTGTTTTTGTATTGAATAAATGCCCATTGATTTGACTCATGATGAAAGGTTCTACTGTAAATGAATAACATTGTCTTATGGCATGTTTTGGGAATAAAGAAAGATTTTGTTATCAAATACCACTTGAATTATTTGACGAAGACAACATTTTATTTTTCACTCCGTCACTGTCAGTTTGGTTTTCAAGCTCAATTAAATATTTGAAGACTGGCATGTGTTATAATAAACATGGATTAAGTTGTCCAAGATTGCTGGAACAACACATCAGTTTGAGGATAGAAAGCCAAATCTCTTGATCGGGATGTCAATAGAAGTTTTTTTGGAACTCAGTCAGCCTTAGAATCAGAGACAATTGCTATAAAATGTGAATACTGCTTGACATGGATGTCATTTTTCTATGGCGCATTTATTGGAAAGCAATAGACACATTAGCAATGATGGTTTAAGTTATAAGCATGTATTAAGATATAGTTTCAGATATATAATGTTCTATCAACAACTTAGTGTTAAAATCGATTTTTAAGGAAGATTTCTATATAATTTGTTGTTTTCTTCCGTGAACTACTCTGCTGTACCACAATTACAACACACACTTGATACACAACAAAAGGTCACTGGAAATACATTGACACCAGATCAACCAAAAGTCCGATAAATTCAATGACAAATGATTGCCATCCCCCTATATCATTTGTAAATTAATAATTAGAATTAGATCTGACGTCCCTATTCGTAGGGCAACATTCTTTGTCTGTGCTCTACAAAACAGTAACCAATCAGTGTTGCAAAAAAATCGATCATATTATTTGATGATAAGGGTTGCCTAGGTTTAAGCACTCTAGGGAAAAATCATAGTTGGGGTTTTGGGTCTTTACATCTAAGTCCTCAGGTGCTTTATGGCTTTAACTACTTCAAGGAAAACATTTGGGACGTTCTTCCTGGCCGGAACAACTTTAATGAATATCATTTGGCGTCCCGCAGGGCTCCCTTCCTGGTCCTAGTGTTAATTTCGTTGACTAAAACTATGACGAAATATGTTCGTCAACGACCTTTTTTTCCATGACGAAAACGAGACGATGACGAGACGGCACCGACGGCAGTAAACAATAACTGTAACAAAATCATCATGCAATATCGTTGACGAAAAGTGACGAGACGAAAATGTAGTTTACTAAATAAAAACGATGCCAAAATCTCTCTTTACTTTCGTTGACGAAAAATGAGGAGACGAAATATTATCAAAGATAACGTTACATCTCTGATGATAGTCAGTTTTTCTCCCAGCAGTTCCATTTCCGGTGCTGCGGCAGGGCAGCAGCTGGGAAATTTAACACAGGACTAAGACTAAAACTAAATAAAAAAATAGCTGACGAAATTAACACTACCTGGTCCTCTATTATAACTTCTGCAAACGCAATTTTGTTTTAGCCTTAGATTGTCTGTTTGTCTGTGCAAAATTACAAACTCACTTTTAATAAAAACTTAGTAGTGGAAGGGATGTTTCTTGGGTGAAGGAAGAACCGATTACATTTCCGACCTGATCCAAAACAAAGATTAAAGATACAAAGATTAGGTTTTACTTAAAGTCAACTTTTCAAAAATGTGGGCATTTGTTGTGCATCATTTGGTGTTGGGATAGTTTAAAAAATGAGATCCCAAATAGGAAAATTGAAAGCACCTTCAAGAGGGAGCAACTAATAAACAGATATTAATATGTTATTTAATGTTCTGAACCACTGAATACAAGAACACATGTTCTTTGTAACCTACATGTGGTCTTCATTAAAAGCTCATGAACACATAGAAGTCCAAACAATGCACCATCCGCCTTGGTGGAGGTTTGTGCGCTCTTTGCTAACTCATTCTATACAGTGCCATTCAAGGTTCTCTTCTCACCAATGTACAAGTCACGCTTAAAAAACATGTATAATTTTTTACTGAGGGAGATGAGTAACAGCTTGTCAAAAATTTTAAATGTTAGAAAATGCAATTATAGGGAATTACATTTTTAAGAGAAAATAAGAGTATATTACAAGATCAAGTATATCACAATATGCTTTGATGACAGGAAGAGACTTAACAGATTGGTTAAAACCCTTAGATGCATAAGTGGGTCTTTTTGGACCCGGTGAGGTGGTTTTCTTGAAGTATCTTGGTAATAAAAATGTTTTATCATTTCATATTCCAGCTATTCTTCAAAAAACATGTTTTGGATATCATGCCATTCACATTTTAAATTTACATTTTAAGAAATTGTAGTTTTTGTATTACTACCCCAAGCTTCCATAAGTGGGTCAAAAAATGACCCGCATGCATTTTCTATGGGATCCTCTGGGAACCTTTGATTCTTATCACCTGTGGCTGTGAGGAATACATTCACTAGACCACACAGACTACATCACAAGTGACACCTCTCAGGAAGATTATTTTACACAGCAAGATCTGATACCTGTCAGTATAATAATAATAATAGTAATAATAATAATACATTATATTTGTATAGGGCTTTTCAAGGACTCAACATCGCTTTGCAATACAAGGGAAGGTTAGGGCGGGGGTATAGGGCTATCAAACTTGATCAACCGGCATGGATTGATGGGGGGGGGGAGGGCTATGAGTAGACAAGAGGAGAAGAGATAAGTTTTGAAAAGGGACTGGAATACTGTGAGGGTCTCAGAATAGCGGAGATCTTTGGGACAATATGTTCAAAACGTTTTTTTTTCAAAATGTAAAAACATTTTTATTAATTATAAATTGTGAAAAATTAAATATAAAATATTTCTAATGTGAACCAAAATATAATACTAAATATTATTCAAGTGATTTTTCTTAACCAAAAAGACAAAAATGGCATAAAAACATATATTATTCTAATACGGGTCCTTTTTGACCCACTTATGGAAGAGTGTAGGGTCCAGTCATTCAGGCAAGCTCTGTCCTGGGGAGTCCTCTGGACACTGAAGAGGTGTTGGGGGACAGGGGAGTGATGGCAAAGCTGTAATCACTATTGGACAATTTATCTCACCCCCTCCATGACACCATGTAGCCTACGCACTGTGCAGCTCCTTCAGCGGTCAGGCTGTACAACCACCACGGCCCCTGGTAGACCCCCACATAGACTGGAATTCCCCCGATGTGCAATAACACTGTCTGAAAATATTAAACGTTGTGCAATAGACATACGAGTGCAATATAACCCCCTGCATGTTTTTTTTTCATGTTTATTACCATGGTGTACATATACCTGCCATTTCGTTTTTGTTGTTTACTTATTGTGTTATTAATTTACATACTTAGCCATTTGTTTTGGTTCTCCTCTCAGGATTTCTATTACATGACATGTCACTTGTTAGATGCTTTTATCCAAAGCGACTTACATACTCAGTACTGTGGACAATCCCCACAGGAGCAATTTGGGGTGAAGTGTCGCAGGGACACAACGACATGCTGACTGCAGTGGGGTTTGAACCTGTGACCCCCTGATCCAAACACCAACGCACAACCCACTGCGCCACACGCCTCTTAGTGATGGTTATGTATTCCCAATCTCATTCTGCCCTCTGCTGTTCAATTACTATAATACAGAAACATATTGAACATTAGCAATAATAGATGACATATAGTATAAAGCAGGATGCGTAAATAAGTACAGTCGTTGAAGTGATCCAAAATGGTGGTTGTAAACACACACAGAAGCTTGTCCCGGTGGCAATTGTTTCAGTTTGTTGGGAAAATGTTTCCACAGTTTCATTTTGGGAAGAGGAAATTTAACAGGAAATAGAAAAATGATGACATTAATGCTATTCCACAGTACGAGTCATCAACACTGCCAAAGTGTGTGTTAATTACATCATGAACAGCATACGTCTTATGGGGCAATGTTAGTGTTTTATTTAACAACCTGAACATTTAGACACGCGTCTAATTAAAGACGCCTGATCATAGGGCTTCAATGGGTGTCTTTAAAAGCTCAAACATCATCTTATCCCCTAGCACTTACATTATAATGATACCTTTGAACCTTTGATAAGGTTGTTATAGCCGTCATTCATCAGCTCCTTCCTCAGGTCACCAATTGTGCCGTAGCTTTTACATTTGAGGTCAAATGTTGTGGCAAACTGCCCAATGTTTTGAGCTTGCTTTTATAAAGTGAGTGTTGTTTTGTTATAGAGCCATTGATCCTTGATTATGTATCTGTAAAAATGATGTATCTGAGATGTATAATACAATACAAATTAGGAAGCATGGGAAAAAAACACACCAAATAAAAACACGAGATCAATCATATGCTTATGGATGTGTTTTAATAAAAATAATTCTGTCAAAATTAAACAGAATACAATATTTCTTTTTTAACATGTTTCCAGTACATAGGTTTTTTTTTTCAATTATAATTTTTCCTTTTTTTTATATCGTTTTAAAAGTCATGCTAAATAGAGGGTAACTCATTTCACAATAGTTTTTTTGTTGTTTTTTTGCTAAAACTCAAAGTCAAAATATGAAATTTAAATCATGATAGAAGTCAATTGTGGACAGCTCGTCTGCAATGCCTAAATCCATTTCTCCGGCTACTCCTGAAGAAGTCCGTGTGGCTTCAGGGGCCTCAGGCCCATTTCCAAAACTGTTCACATTCCTCCATTTCTTAAAAACAATCACTGATCACATCAGTGGCTATGTCTGCAGGGATAAGAGGAAGGGTGCATGGTAACAGTGCTGAGACGCAGCCCAGGCTCAAACACAAAGGACAAGTGGGAGACTTGTTCCCTACAGGTATGCAACAGAGGTTTGTCTTTCACGTGTGTGTGTGTGTGTGTGTGTGTGTGTGTGTGTGTGTGTGTGTGTGTGTGTGTGTGTGTGTGTGTGTGTGTGCATGTAACATAAGTCCTTTACAGCTGTAGATATTGTGAGTACTGCATGTGAGGTTATTAGAATAGTTCCTATTATATCTGAAAGTCTTAATAAAAACCAGCTCGGAAAAAAGATGACCACATACCCTGTTGTAAACCCCACATTGCATACACACATCTCCGGTATTATATTATTCCATGTTTCTCTATTCTCTTATAAATGGAAATATACACTTCAGGGTGGATCCACAAGCCATTTGCGAGGTCACAACAAAGCAGCCAAAGTGACAGTTTGCCACTAGTCAGACAGAACATGAAATCATTTCTATTTGGTAGAAAAGTCTGATGTAAAAACAAAAGAATGAAAATATTTCAAATAAAGCTGAGGGATGAAACAAAAGCTTTGTTACCAAAGCCCAGTTATTGGACTGGAAATAAGGTGTAGTTGAGTCCAATTTGTTTCATTGTGCAATAAACAATCATCTTTTCGGATACAGAGACAGAAACTGATGATAATGATAACATTTGAAAATGAATAATATTAAACTTCAATATTGGATAAGTAAACAAGACATAGTGAAATAAACAATCTTGTGACCAAATATACAAGAGCCGATAAGCTGGGAGATCATTCAAAAAGGTTTACACTTGTAATTTGGGTTCCTACTTAAACAAGTGTACCTGCTTTTATTTTCACAAAAATGTTCAAAATATGTGTGTAAGTATCTCTTACTGTCGGTCTGAATGTACCCGTTTTCAGCTTCCTTCTGAATTGATGCATTTAAGCGCCTTCCACTCCCAAAAAAAAAACAATCTTAGGCCCAACAGCAGCTAGCTAGCAACAGCAAAGAATGTGTGTTTTTGCACATAACAGTGGTGCTCCTTTCTCTGAGAAACATTTCCAGAATCAATTAACTACTTAAGTCAGAATTAGCTGCTGCAGCTAACATTTGCTATTATGAATAATCATACGAGGTCATTCAAAGCCCAGCTAGCTAGGTAGCTTAAGTTGCCCTGTTGAAGCTAAAAAGAAAGACAGCTGTGTTACTCTGGATTGTGTTCATAAGCAGCAACAAATAGTTGGTTGAACCAAAAAGAGTTTCTGGCTTGGGAGTTAGCAAACAGCCACATAGTTTTACAGTAGCTAATTGGCCAATTTCACAATGTCTTGTATCATATAATATCAAAAACGTTTGGGCACTAAACACATTTGCTGAAAGCTGTTGTTGGGGGCTAAATCATTTCTTTTTTATAACTGAACCGACTCCAAAACAGGAGGATATTGGAACAATCTGGATCTTTCTTCATCATCTTTGTATCAAGTTAATGTACTGGGAGGCACTCTTGGACACACCTTTGGGCTTCATAAATGAACTTACCGCCTGTCCAGTAATAGGCAAGGCATAATCACTTTAAACTTATGGTTGATAGAGAAATGGAGGTTTCTGTGTGAACAAAATGATTGGTTCAACACCTTAAACAACCTTTGAGAGGTTTCCACTCAATCACCCTAATTAAATAAATTAAATTACTTAATTATCCCAATTATCACCCTAAAATGAATTTGGCAAATTATTTTTCCTCTTTGTTTTTAAACTATAATTGCTACAGCACATGTACAGAGCAGGTCAGGTGGAGGCCAACCAAAGAAAATAAAAAGAAAATAAGAATATTGTAATGAAAATCCTGGGGGGGGGACTTGAGTTTTAGCCGTCCACACCCTGCGCTTTAGTCTACTTTTGAACCTGATTTTCTTTCTGCTGGCATGAAGGCGAACCTGATAATAGTGTTACATTGGATCTTGAGCAGGTGTTGTAGCTGCAGCTGAGCTCCGCCACCTGCAACCACATCACTGATTGGTCGATGCTCTGGTCGTTACAGTCAAATTAAGGCTTCAACACCTCTAATATTCCAATGTAATCCCGTCCTTAAAATGCTCCCCCTTGTTACTGGCAGTGTTCTTCTCTACAGAGGTCCTTCAATTCAGTTTTTTGACACAGGATGCAAGCCATTCTTTTGGAACCTCTGGAATAATTGAGGGGCCCACGTGTGTCATACATCAGTCTATTTCTTTTTTCTTTCAGCATCTCCACACAATCAAATGTGTTTTCAGGCTGGCTACTGCTGGATGTAATACAAGACATAATTGCTTCAAGTATTTTGGAAGGATAAAGGGTTCAGCGTCTGTCTTCTGTATCAAAGATGAGGTTAATATGCCTCAGGAACTGTTGACCTACAATTGTGGGGGTTACCGCAGTAACGAGATGTGTGTATTGTGGTTTGTGATATGGTGAACAACACAAAATTGAATAAAATACTGACCGTAGGAAATCAAAATCCACCCGATAAAACAGAAGAAAAATGAAAAAGGGGATTAACAATTTGTTTTGTCGAGGATGAGCACAACAATCTGACAAAAAAGAACTATAAAAATGGCTAGATAAACAGAATAATAATTAATTATCTTTAAATAGTGTCACACATTTGTTTATTTGATAATACTAAATTAAAAGGAAGCCTTCTTCTCTCCTGCTCGCCTCTCCTCTGTCGGTGCCGCTGGCTTGGTCTGATGGACAGCCAAACACACCAATCACACGCATGCTCTCTCCTCCGTCGCCATGACAACTACCTGCAGGACATGCCTTCTCTCAGTGCTACTTAACATTAACCTGTGGAGAGACGGGTAATCATCTAAGCAGGGTAATGAATGATGTAACATGATTAAAACAGCTTGAGTTCATTTTCATGCTCAGCATAGATGTGGGGTTTTGGTATTTGTATTTCATTTTGAAGATATTCATTTGACTAATACTGTATGACCAATGTTTAAGTTATTTACATTTTTTTAATTATTGCATTGAGAAATGTTTCCGTAGAAAATAATAAACGGGGACTGTTACACCCTGTACTTTTCCAAATGCTTCGATACAGGATGCTCAAAATGCCAAAGGTCATTCAGTATGTCCCTCAGAAAATACAACACAAAAGTATGATATCTTTTAATTGGATCTTATTATCTTAATTTTGGCAACCCTTTCTATGGATCATGTTAACTTTGCACTTGCCACCTCTCTTGTAGAGATACAGGAAATGTAATCCTGGGAGAAAAAAGGTGTACCAGAGAATGGATAACAAACCATGGATTAGCTATTATAGCTATCTGTTGCAACACACTTTCACTCCCTAAGCGTCCAGGAGCGACGCTTGGTCAGGGTCCCGTGGCGTGCAGTTGTGACGCGCCGAGGCTCCTTCAGCTTCATAAAGGGACGCAAATAGCTTTCAACTGATTGCAATGTATTCCCATCGGCGGCGGTATTTGACGCTCATGGAAGCAACGCACCCGTTTATGTCGGCAGCCCTTAAAGGCAATGTGAGCGTCCATTCCCATTGGATAACGGAGAATTGTACACCCGGAAGTAAGTATTCTCCTTACTGTCGATTGATTTGACAGTGATATCTGCACTACTCATCGACTAAAAAACACCGGATTACCTTTGTTAATTAAACGACATTGATAGGTTTAAATTGTGTGCAATGCTTTTGTGTTTTTCCCCTTCAATTCTGAGAAACAACTTGTTTTCTCTGAAATGTGGAGCGCCAAAGAGACTACACTACCCACAATCCCCAGCTATTGTTGTGACAATGCCTGTCCGCTTTGACAAACCTCGTGATAAGTCAACAAGCACATGAATTTATGTTTCATGTGATTGGATGAAACATAAATTCATACAAAAAAAGTCCAACCCTGTCTACTAAAAATTGCGTTCCCACAGAACTAAACTGCATTCTCAATTACGTTTAGCTAGAAACGTATTCTCTCCCACGTTACGTTTCTTGTGAACGTATCTTAAAGACGTTTATTTTCTACATATCTTTGCCATTTATTGTCTTGCTTATAATAATGATAATAGTCATTTATAAATATCATTTTAGAGCACACGTTTAAAATCAGTAGGCGAGGCTGTAATTTCGCCAGCTGTTACTCTCATGAGCGAGGCAGAAAATAATAGTTTTAACATGCCAAAAAGCTGCTGTGTCGTTTATTGCACCTCAAACATTAAAACAAATCCAGAGTTACGTGTTTCTGTACTTCCTCTAAGAAGAAAGGACAGTAACAGAAGATCTCTGTGGCTTCAGGCTTGATCGCCGTTCAAATGACAGCGTTGGTTTCCACAAAAGTGGGCGGGGCTGTATAGTGACGTAGATTTTACTCATCTATTATTCAAAACCATTCTATTTATTCTAACGTAAATTACATGCCAGTGTTTTATCTTTTTATTACTTATATTTGTATACTTTATTTGCTATGAGTTATATCTGAAGCAAATTATGTTTCTGAAGATGTGTAATCAATTCCACCCTTCATAAATGTGAACTCTCATTACAGGAACAATACCGGAAACAGACGTAGGAAAGATCCTCAGCTCGCTGATTGGATGTTTTAGCCGCAATGCACGTTTTTAAAGATATTACTGATTTTCTTTGAATATAAGAATGTAAATACTGAGTTGAGAGAATAGTCAGGGGATTTGGGTGATGGGAGACACCTCTATGGAATCACAATTTCAATAGCTTACCATTAAATGACGGATATACCTTTCTGTCGGTGATGTTTTACAAATCAGATATTAATGTGTAGAAGTAAAACATGAGAAATAGTATAGCAACATCCTGTAAAATTGTAAAAACATGAACATAAGTGTCCTACACTAATAATACAAAGTTATTAATAGTATGCTGTGTGTACCTTGTCTGCACCGCCTAGTGGTTAAAGCACGTTATTGAATTATTTTTGTTGAATAATGTTATTTTTATTGAATAATGTTATTTGATGAAAACAATATTATATTATATATATATATATTAAGAGTACATACTTTCATAGGGGGAAAGTAGAAGGTCAATGATAGAAATATAGAATATAATAAATCAAGAAGATACTGTAAGTGATCTCTACAATAAAACAGTTTAGTGCTGGATGTACAAAGATATTAATATGAGGATGTGCAAAACAGACAAACTAATTAACCTTTATTAACACATTTAAAAATACTTTAGGTTAAGGTCTTCTTTCAAATAAGAAAAAAGCTTTGGGGGTATCTATCTACAAATAAATATTAAGCCTGACAAAGTACTTAACGTCTAATATATTGCTTTCCTGCAATGTTAAATATGTTGAAGCACTTATTTTAACTGATATTATACATATGTATTATTATTACTTATTTGAACTTTACTATACACATTAATTATACTCTTATGTGTGTAGATAGTATAAGAAATGTGCAGAATTTGACAGTTTAATGGTGGAGGTATGTATACACACATATTGATAGATGTCTTGTAATGCACTGTTGAGGAACCTTTGACCCACGTTTTTCATTCATTGCATAACTACACCGTAGTTGTGTATATGATATGTCAATAAACCTTAGAAAATCTTGAAAGGGATGTGCAAAATAGCAATTATATACAGTTTTTAATTAACTATTAGTAGAGAATAACGAGTAATTAATATACTTTATAGAGATCTGCAGATAAATGTTTAGTCTTCTCGAGCACCAACTATTAAATATCTCTCCTGATTGTTGGCACTTGACAATCACCTTTCCCTGAATTTTACTCAGGTGTAACTAAAGTCTGCTTTAAGGGTTGTTTGTATTTCACATCATTAATCAGAATCTGCAAAGTTACTAAAGTAAATGTAGTGGAGTAAAAATACCAGGTTAACCTCTGAATTGTAGTGGAGTAGAATTACAAAGTAACAATGAGCTGTCGTGTGGGTATATATTAATGCTGCCCATTATGGATACAAGCAATTTTCACCCATTTAGTAATTACATGTTTTAAATGTGTACACACCAATGTGTTTCCTATCGCCTAAACCTCCAGGGATGTACACAGTTTAATACTGTCAACTTCTAATTTTGGGAAAAACAAAAACTTCTTTTAAAACCACAATTCCCAGTAGAGACGTGCCATAGAGAACATGTTGCGAAACACAATAGCCAGCATGTGTAGTTCTCGGGGGCCGTTCGAGTCCAGTTTTGAATAGTCTGCCGTGGTTTCGTTCCATTTCAAAGAGCCTGACGCTCGGCGTAACCTTGGCGCACTGCCACTCCAACATCCAATCACAGAGCTTGAAGATTAATCACAGGGTTTGTCACAAAGCGGACAGGTGTCGTCACAACAATAGCTGGGGATTGTGGGTAGTGTAGTCTCTTTGGCGCTCCACATTTCAGAGGTAATCTGGTGTTTTTGAGTTGATGAGTAGTGCAGATATCACTGTCAAATCAATCGACAGTAAGGAGAATACTTACTTCCGGGTGTACAATTCTCCATTATCCAATGGGAATGGACGCTCACATTGCCTTTAAGAGCTGCCGACATAAACGGGTGCGGTGCTTTCATGAGCGTCAAATACCGCCGCCGATGGGAATACATTGCAATCAGTTGAAAGCTCTTTGCGTCCGTTTATGAAGCTGAAGGAGCCTCGGCGCGTTACAACTGCACGCCACGGGACCCTGACCAAGCGTCGCTCCTGGACGTTTAGGGAGTGAGAGTGTGTTGTCCAGATCCACTTCAGGGCTAACCAAGCTATCTGTTCTGTACCGGTTTACATTTGCGAGGCTGTGTCGCTGTGATTCAGCAAATTAATTAGGATTATTAGCAAAGCCTCTTATCACCACAATATACTTATACTTCCACTGTATTAGTGGAAGTATAAGTATAAACACAACATTTGTATTTAATGTTACACCATCTTAACAGTGGCATGTGGACACAGTTATTCAGTCATTTAACTTCCATAAAGTCATTGAGCTAAGATTAGCTTAAACTATGGGCAAACACTAGCTGTTTGAATTAGCATTAGCCAGCTGACTTTCCTGCAGAAGAATAACTAGTTTGGTAAGCTGGTTAGTTTCAGGAGGTTAATCGCTCAGCAGTTAGCTACAATAGCTAATCGAGGAGCTTATTTATGGGTTTACTTTCAGTTGGACTGTTTAGTGTTTGGAACGTTTTTTTGTAAAATGTAGGTCTAACTCGAAGGTTTTAGGTGTCTTGTGCCTCTTTACAAAAAACTGGTTGTCTTGGGGATGGGGAATGCAAAGTTAGCATGACCCATCAGAAAAACTCCAACTTTGAGAAAATAAGGTATTGTGTCAGAAACATGTATTGTCTGTGGTCTTATCTCACATAAACTTGCTCACCTGGACCTGGGCTAGTGCAAAAAGTTGTCTACTCTGGCGAATGAGCAGGAGCCAGAGCGGACTCTGGCCATGAGCTGAACACACTCTGTGGCTTGGCCGAGTGCTAACATCAGTGGAGGCTGCTTAGGCAGGTTTTGGGACTCTAGAGCAGAAAAACACAGTCAGGCAGGAAAAGGTGCAGCACATAAGTCACAATAATGCATCAAGTGTGTGGGCTGGGTATTAGAGACTCCATATTAAAAGGCAGAGATAATGTCAAGGGGTTGCTCTCTTTTTGCCACATGGCTATAACAATATCACAGTGTAAGAGGCAATCCACAAGAAGAAGAATAACTTTAAAGATAACTATATACTGATGTGAGCATCCACAAGTATGTACAATAACATTCTGTTAAGAGTGGCAACAAGCAAATGATGCATGCACCAGCTGTTTTTTCAGCACTGTCACCTTGAGAAGTTAAACATTGGGTCATGTAAGCATGTTGGTGATACTAATAGATATTTGAATGACCCTCATACACAGCTACAGTATTTACATCATAATCACAGGATGATAATAATTGATTAATGATTTAACCTCAGATAATAATAACTCATTTTTGTTACTAAAGAACTCTATGAAGGCACAGAAAGTGTTCATCAGCAGCATCTCTCTCTCCTTGAGTTATTTTTAACTGTTTCCTTATTCTTATTATTAATAACGAAAAGATTCAAAATCAAGTTCTTCAAAAATGTTGTATCTGTATGTATCAAAATGGACGTTTTTAATTGTTCTCAAGTTGGTTAGTACATCTTTGAAACAATATATGTATAGTTATTGGTGTTGGTTAGGATGTCCATTTACAGTGAACAAACCCCACAGTATGCATCAGTGTTGGCTGTTTACCCAGTATGGCGCTGTTGAGTGCGGAGCAGAGGGTTTCTCTCTGGGTGGGGTCTAACTGCTGGCCCACCGGGCAGCTCCAGGGGTCCGAGTACGCTAGCAGGCTGAATGCATCCTACAGACAGACATCATTGTTATAATTATAAACATTATTTATATAGCACGCAAGATGCAGCCCAAAATGCTTTATAGATACAAAATAAAGATGGAGGAACATAAGAAAAAACTTTATAAACAAGCAAATAGTTATATCACAGAACCATAAAACAATAAAACATGAACAGTGATAAACCTGAAATGAATTAAAAAGATAGGTCTTGGAGTTTGCTGTTCTAAGATCCAATGGGATGCTGTTCCACAGTTTGGGGCCATAAAAACAAAAAGCAGCCTCCCCAGATTTCTTGTGTAATACTTTCGGTACTTCTAAAATAAATTCATTGGAAGATCTGAATGATACATTATGCAGCTTCCTAAATCGAGTTTATAATGTCATTTAGGCCTAAATCTAATTTCACTACATGTCATTTGTCAGTTGCTTGCACCGTTTAGTCTTTAGCGTTTTTTAGCAGCATATTTGAGCCTCTTTAAGCTCACTGTTTTGGTTTTCTAGAATCCTAAATGTGCCATCTAGCATATAGATCCTGAAGTTCAACACATTCATTTGCCAGTGAAAAACCCTGATCTTGTAAATTATTGGGGAATGCAAAAGAGGCAGCAAACAGATATCTGCTTAAATTAAAGGCAGGAATCTTGTGTCCTAAATTGTACCTCATTTCTAGATTATTAGACATAGATTTGAAACGTGGAGACGGAGCGGATGACAATGGTCCCGATGGTAAATGGTCCCAAGCTGGATTCAAACCCAAATCCGCTTGGAGGCCATGCGCCGCTACCTCTACCAAGTGAGCTACATGGCGGCCCGAAATTTCAATTTTTCAAAAGTTTAACCGAGCTTTATTTGAAGCAACGCTGCCACCCAGTGGGCGTGCCAGCAGTGACCAACAAAACAATATGGCTCACAAAGCTGAATTAAAATCTGCTAATTGTTACAAGAAACATAACATGCTCTTTCTACATTGTATGGATTAAGAGAAGCCACAGTGAAACAAATATTGTTTTTAACCCTCCTGTTGTGTTCGGGTCAAATCTGACCGATTTACTACTTTCATCAATCATAACTTTTTTGTTTTAAATTCGATTGCATTAAGGCTTTATGATATCCTTCACTGTAGGTATTTGAACATATCAAATTGCTGATCACTGCTTTTATTGAATTTTGGATGATTTAGTCAACTTTGTAACAACCATGGTGTTCTCTCCACAAAAAAACCACACACACACACACA